TTTGCACAACTAGATTTTTTTATTAATTATATAGGACGTGTAATACACTAATCAACTTATAATAACAATTAAATTACTTAATTTTAATCTTTTTGCTATCTGCCAAATTAAGTGTTAAAATCGATTTAACATTGTTCCATCTCTAGACACGCCTAACAGTAAGCTGTCACCTGCACCATGCTATAACGCAAAAACTATATCTGATAACCACGTTGCGTTAAGTGATTAAAGTGATGCTTAAAATCTAGTTTAGAATCAAAGATAACGCCCAAATCTTCAGCAACATTACTTTCAGACAAAGGTTGATCATTGAAATGGTATGTATACTTTAGACGAGTTTTCTTAGTTGTGAAAGTTACAAAAAAACATTTAGCTACATTCAAAGACAATTTATTATGAGAACATCAGGTATGGATATTGCTAAGGTTGCGTTGCAACAAGAGGCAGTCATTAACATCATCGATTATACGGAAAACTTTCATATCGTCTGCATATAGTAAACATTCACTTGTGACATGGTCTACAAAGCCATTAATAAATATAATGAACAACAGGGGGCCGAGATGGGACCCTTTAGGAACCCCGGATGTTACGTGTACTGGTTTGGAGAGGAAACCTTTTATTGCAACGATCTGACTACGTCTAGAAAGATATGAAATTTTATTTGAAATTATATATCATCATCACCATCATTACAGCCCTTCACAAGTCCACTGCTGAACATAGGCCTCCCCCAAGTAATGCCACAAAGCACGGTCCTGAGTCACCTGCATCCATCGACTTCCTGCATATCTTACCAAGTCGTTACTCCATTTAGTGGGTGGTCACCCTACACTACACCTACCGGTACGAGGCTGCCACTCGAGAACCTTTCTTCCCCATCGGTTATCGGTTCTTCGAGCTATATGGCCGGCCCATTGCCACTTCAGCTTACCAATCCGTTGGGCTATGTCGGTCACTCTGGTTTTACTGCGGATATCCTCATTTCTGAGTCTATCACGCAGAGAAACTCAGAGCATAGCCCTCTCCATAGCTCGCTGAGCGACCTAGAGCGTCCTCATACGGCCAGCAGTGAAGGACCACGTCTCAGATCCGTAAGTCATCACTGGCAACACGCACTGGTTGTACAATCTAGTTTTTAGAGATTGAGGTATACCTGACGAGAAGATATGTCGTAATTTCCCGAACGCTGCCCAGCCGAGTTGAATCCGTCGATTGACCTGTCGGTCGAAGTTGGACTTACCTAGTTGGACTATTTGTCCCAGGTAAACGTACTCGTCAACAACTTCGAGCATAGTGCTCCCAACAACTACCGGCATAGGTGTGACATGGACATTAAACATGATCTTTGTTTTGTCCATGTTCATCTTAAGACCTATCCGTTGGGAGGCACTATTGAGGTCATTGAGCATAGTACTTAAGTCCTCCAGCGATTCTGCCATAAGGACTATATCGTCGGCAAATCGAAGGTGAGTGATGTACTCGCCATTGATGTTAATACCGTATCCTTTCCAGTCCAGGCTTGAAAACGTCTTCCAATGCAGCGGTGAAGAATTTCGGGGGATATAACGTCACCCTGTCTTACACCTCTCTGCAGTTGGATAGGTTTCGAGCTCTGTTTCTGTACTCGGATAGCCATCGTAGCCCTACTGTACAAACACGTCAGCAATGGACGATTCGACGGAATCAAAGTTCTAAAATGGTCTATGGTACTGAAGCCTTTTCGGAAACCGGCTTGTTCGGGAGGCTGGAAGTCGTCGAGTCCGCGTGCGAGACGATTCGTAATGACTCTCGAAAACAGCACGTAGACGCGGCTCAGAAGGGAAATCGGTCTGTAGTTCTTCAAGAGAGCGTTGTCGCCTTTCTTAAAGAACAAGACCACCGCGCTTGTGCTCCACGCCTCCGGAGTAGTGCCACCATGGAGGACGGAATTGAAGAGCTTCTGAAGGACTTCAAGTACCGGTGTTCCACCCGCTTTCAGAAGCTCCGCTGTAATTCCATCCTCGCCTGGGGCCATGCCGTTTTTAAGGTGCGGGAGAGCCATTCTAATCTCACTTAGACTGACGTCCGGGATATCATCGGAATAGTGTCGGATAAGACTTGCTCTTGGATAGTTACTCACACTTGCGTGTGGCTCCAACGATGATGTGTACAGCTGCCCCTATAACCTCTCAATCTCACTCAAAATCTCAGATGTCCCGGAAACGATGCTGCCACACTCAGCCTTCAGCTTTGACAGTTGGCTCTTACTGGGAGACAGATCTCTGGCAAAGACTTTGGAGCCCTGGTTCCGCTCGATCGCTTCTTTAATACGAGCAGTATTAAAGTTGCGTAAGTCTCGCCGCATGCATTTGGAGATCTGTCTGTTCAGTTGCCTGTATGCTGTCAAATCTGTTGACGATTGCAGCCTCATCTCCCGTCTAACAGCCATGAGATTAAGAGTGTGATCGGAGAGTTTTTGTGTTCTTCTGCGGCGGGTCTTGCAGAACTTAGCTCCAACCGCATGGACAGTTTCCACGAGCTTGTCATTCATATCGTCCACTGCATTGCGATCTTGCAGGCACTGAAAGCGGTTACGTAACTCGAGCTGAAAGTTTTCGGGATTCTGGATCAGAGCACGAGGGGGACGGAGCGTTGACTTCATTAGACGAGACCTCTCCAACTTAACGTTTAGGTTCAGTGTGCCTCTAACCATTCGGTGATCGCTGCCAGTTTTCACCCTTGCGATCACTGAGACGTCACTGAACAGTTGGCGTCTGGTCGTCATAATGAAGTCAATCTCATTTTTTGTCGAACCGTCGGGGCTCGACCAGGTCCACAACCTGTGGGGCCGCTTCTGGAAGAAAGAGTTCATCATAAAGAGTCCCTCTTTTTCCATAAAGTCGGCCAGCTGCAGGCCCCTTCGCTTCCGTTGCCCTACTCCAAATTTCCCTAACTTCAGCTCACCTTTTCCTCTTGTGCCTAGTTTTGCGTTGAAATCTCCCATCAACACCGTGTAGTGGGTTTTGGAGGAATGCATGGCTTTGGAAATATCCTCATACATTTCCTCCACCTCCTCATCGGGATGTGCCGAGGTTGGTGCGTAAACCTGTATGACCTTCACGGAATACCGTTTGGTGATTCTGAGTATCAGGTACGCGACCTTCGTAGACACACTCACAATCTTTACAACGTTGTTGACGAGAGACTTGTGGACGATAAATCCGACACCTCCTTGGGACAGATGGTCGCCCTCCCGTATAAAGTTGCCATTCAGAATCACCGTGTCCTCCCCCTCTCTTCGGACCTCGGATAATCCTATAATACTCCAGCGCAACTTGTCTATCTCTTCTTCCAGCTCCAGGATCTTCTCGTCAGTCCTCAGGGTGCGTGCGTTAAATGTTGCCAGGTCGAGTCGTCGTAGGTGGCAACCGAACCTCCACCGGAGATTCTTAGCACCCCCTGCCCCGCCGTTACCATGGTCGCCCCCGTAGCCAGGAATAACGGGGCCGCCGGGGACTGGGGGCAGTCTATTTGTGTAATTGTTCATGGGGGGTATATTGCCATAGTTGCCACTCTTGGCGAGCGGGTTGGCAACCGCAGTTTTTTTTTTGTCGTACAGTTGCTGTTGTCAGGAAGATGCTGCTGCCCATCTCCTGCCTGTCTCCCTCTGTCGCCTCTTACGACACCCACGGGAAGATATGGGGTAGTGGATATTCTTAACCGCCACTACACGGTATTATATATATTTATATGAAATTATATTTTATTATACCCCGTATGCTACTAATTTAGCAGAGAGTATTCTATGCTTGACTTTATCAAACGCCTTTGAAAAGTCAGTATAAATCCATTTGAATACTTGGTGTTGGGTGGCAAACGCTTGTCAGAAGTAGTATTTGTAGACAAGTAGGTTACCAACGGTTGATCTACCAGTGACAAAATCATCTTGTTAGTTTGATATGCTTTGTTTCACGTGGTTGTAACTTTGGTCATAAGCCAGCGATTCAAAAATTTTTGCCATACAGGATAAGATACTAATTTGCCTATAGGTTTCACATTTTGTTTTATCACCAGAGTTATGAATTGAAATTACGTAGGCGTTTATCCAAATAGAGGGGAATATGCAGCTCTTAATAGACTTATTAAAAATTATAAATAACGGCACACTAAGTTCCTCCCCAAATAACCTTCACAAATAATGATGGGATTCCATCGGGGCCGGGACCTTTGTGTGCCTAAACACAAACACTAGTTTTGATCTTTCTAATAATATCATCTCTACTAATGGCTATATTTGACAGTGTGAGATTAGACCTGTCCGGTATATTAAATCCCATCAAAAACATAAATGTGAAATGAGAGCCAAGTTCAATATTATGATATATGCCTTGGTTGTTGACTTCAACGACAAAAGAAGTGAGATCTAAATGGGTGCCAAGTTCAATGGTCAGTCCTGAAATTTATTTATAACAACATAAAAATCATTTCTTCTTACAACTTAGGATAATATATTGTAGCCTAAGGTCTGACTTGGCTAGTTCTCATGTACGAATTATCATGTTCGATCGCTAGTTTTTAACAGTAAGCCAAATTTTCGGAATAATAAAATAAGAACCGACAAGTACAACTTCATTTTGTATCGATTTGTAGCAGTCTTTAATTAAGTGTTTACTGCGAGTTCTCAACATATTGTATTTATCATAATCCCGAAGGATTATGATAAATACAATATTACCAAATTTTTTATACAACTTACGAATCTTTTTCTTTTCTCGAAGACAACGAATAAGAGGATAGTTAAACCAGTATGGGTATTGGTTAGGATTACATTTTTTAAATGGTGCAAACAGCAAAATACCTGAATTAAGTTCTCCATATATGGCATCAACAGCACTATCAGAGTCTAAGTCAATTAATAGTCATGCCAATAAACATTTCTTAAATTATTTTTAATTTTTTCAAAATTACCCCTTCAAAATGCCCCTTCTGGGGCTGGCGGGTAAAAAAAGAAGTCATACCGGCAGCACTTGCGGAGCGTGAGTCGATCGAGGTCTGCTGTGGCACAGCATCCGCCTCGCTGGAGCTCGCACAAGCGGCAGCGGACGCTGGGGCGGAAGCGGAGGCGGGGCCTGCGGCGGGAGCGTGCAGCGCGCCCGGAGTGGGCGTGGCGCTGCCCGACCCCGGGAAGTACAGCTCGTCGGCGCGGTGAGCGAAATAGCACTGCGTTTTAGTACAACGTACATAATTATTCCTAGTTATTGGAGGTAGAACTCACACTGCAGCTGCATAATATATAAAATATATCTATATATAAAAATTAGTTGCTATCCGTTAGTCTCGATAAAACTCAACAACGGCTCAACCTATTTAGATGAAATTTTTATGGGTGTTTGAGTGAGTCCCTAGATGTTGATTAAAATCATTATGAGTCCCTAGATGGTTTAGATTCACATTTGGACCCGGTAAGTGGCGCTGTTGTCGAGATACAGAAATCACCCGCACGAAGCCGGAGCGGATCACTAGCTATAAAATAAATTGTTACACTATAGCTATTATTAATATACTTTATTTATAGAACACTAGTTAGAAATGTATAAAACGCTAAGTTTAAAACAAAATTCCTATAAAACAGATGTTTCTTTATCCTCAAAATATCATACCAGTTCTCATATTATAGAAACTAAATTGGAAATTACACCCAAGCTTATTGGTCCTTCGAGCCGGATTTAAACCAACGACCTATAAAATAAATCCAGCTCTCTGCAGGGAGGAAGAGAGAACGTAAGTACAAGTGGTAAAAATTTAAAATTTTGTACAACCGTCTTCATACGACGATAATAAACCAAAAAAAACCAACCTAGATCTAGATTGAATTTATATAGGACCACACGAGAAGCACCATCTTTAAGATAAAAAAAAATCATCAAAATCGGTTCACCCAGAAAAAATTATGAGATAACTCACATTAAAATGCCCATGCTGCCCATCTCCTGGTTGTTAGCATATGTGTACTTATGACAGATAATGAAGGGGATGAGGGGAGTTCCATTGAACTTCTACTACCTGCACGAAGTCGTCGAAGTGCGCAGTGAGGCGCCGCCAGCGAGCAGCCAGCGCGTCACCCCCTCCACTCCCCGCCCCACCCGCGAAACTCTCCTCTTCTTCTGGACGGTCTTCTCCGCCTGGGAATAATCCAAAATTCTATTTAATATAAAAATACGAATAAAATCATTTATTTATTTAACATTTGGGATAAAAATAGTAAATGTTACATAGTTACTTAAAATAAATTCAAGTACATAACACCAGTAAAGTATCCACAGATAAAATATAAAAAGAAAGTGTGTCTTAATTTTGTTTACAAAAATGGGCGCGTTACAATGCTTATTTATGTATTTTTACTTAATAACAATAAAAATGTTCGAGTAGCTCGTACATCTTTAATATATTGGATTTCCGCAAATTAAGGTCTGATTCTAATTATTATTTTAAAAGAACAGTTTAAAATCATATATTAAGTTAGACAATTAACTACATCAAAAAATTAGGAAAAGCTTGGTAGCGATCACCTCGGCAACATAGAGTACGTACTGGTGGGTAAATCCGGTAGTGGGTCTGTGCCGTGTGGCGCCAGGTCTGCAGCACCAGCTCGCAGCTCCCGCAGCACTGCACCCACCTGCTCCATATCCTGTGCCACCACCACAAGTTTTGACGTCAATATGTACATTCAGCAGATTCCTGTGGTGATTGTATGATGCAGCATGTTTTTTATTTTTAGAAATAATAATGAAACCTTGGATTTAACATGCACTGACTTAATACTTAATGACTTCGAAATGATTTCTCTTTTTTTTAATTATTAAACACAGACTTCTTCATGATCTTTTCCTTCATTGCTGAGCAAGTGGTAAATCAGCACTTAAATTCACAAACACAAAAAAACAGCTCAAACAGGGAAGGTATACTCTTACAGAATACGAGCGTGAAATAGAAGCTTAATGTAGTTGCATTTTGTATGGTGTGTGTAAGAAGGAGTCCCCTTTTTACTGGAAATGAGGCACTTCATCTTAGTCCTCAGTAGTGACAACGCATCTGTATTTTGATTCTTAATCAATTATAGATGTAGATGTGTATAGGCCACTGCATCCGCCTATGTTAATTCAAAAAATCAAACCTTACCTTCCTAACGAGCGCAGCCTCCCGCGTTAACTGATCGAGCTGGTGATGCCTCAGCCGCAACAGATGCGCTAGGAACTCGTACAGCAGCCGGTGCTGGGCCACCGCGGACTCCGCTTCCAGGAGCCTCTTGCGCCGCGTCAGCACGTCCAGCATTCCGTCCACATCAGCCAGCGCCAGGTGCCTGGCCTCCGCTGCCAGCAGAGTCCGCAACCTCTCCGCATCTCCAGCACCGACGGCACTCTGTTGAGGTGCCGGTGGTCGTACCCTCAACCTCCTCCTCGCCACCAGCTCGTTGAGGAGGAAGTTAGGGAAGATGTGGTCGCGGGAGGCGAGCGCGGCCCCGCACTTTGGGCAGCGACGGTGGAGCTCCACGGATTTCGCAATGCAGGAGTAACAGAAGGAGTGACCGCATCGCGTGACATAGGCCTCGTCGATGAGCTCGAAGCAAACGGGACAAAGCAGGTCGCAGTCCTTGTCCTCCAAGGAGCCGCCCAGCCCCCCGAGGGCGGCCGCCGCCCCAGCTGGACCTGGCCCGCCCGCCGCCGTCCCCGACATCCCCACGCTGTAGACGAGGCTAAATTACAACACACTACACACTACACACTTAACATGACTAAGTTACAAGTTAGATTCAGAGCATTTTCAACCAACTTCAAAAAAAGGAGGAGGTCCTCAATTCAACTGTATTTTTTACTTCCCGCTAGAAAAATCAATGACTTTCAAAAACTCAGGAAGTTATTGTTTTTAATATGCAGCTCGTAACTCTTTTGTAGGTGAACTGATTTTGATGATTCTTTTTTTATTTAAAAGCTGGTGCTTCACGTGTGGTCCCATATAAATTTGATCAAGATCTTACCAGTAATTTTGGTTATTCTTAATAACGCATATTTCATTAACTATATTGATGATGTTCTCATTTTATTTATATTGAAATTAGTTGTACAATTTTTTTAATTTTACCACTTGTAGCATCACCACACTGTAGACAAGATTTAGTTTATTAGTTTACTGTAGGTTAGTTTATGACGGGATTTTTTCCGCATATATTGTGATTATTCAAGCCATGAAATCTCCTAGAAGAAGTTAAAGTTCCGTGGCTTAGCTATAAGTTGCAACGCAATTAGCTGTGGTTTCAAATCCCGCACGGAGCAAGTGTTTGTATCATATACAAATAACTTATATTATATTTGAATATATGTCCTGTTAACCTATGAGAGTAAGGGAGTATAGCACACTGGTGCTTACACACAAATTCATACACTATATAACTGTTGTAGGGCGCAATTCTCACACATTAACAGTGGTAGAGCCACGCGGCAGCTTTGCTGTCGCACGTATGGGCCGGCTCAAACCGGGGTGGTACCACGACCTCACAGAATACCGGCGTGAAGTGGAAGCTCTGTTTCCGCGTTTCGTCTGGTGAGTGCAGGTGGCCGGAGGCCCAAATCCCCCCCCCCCCCCATCAACATGGTAGCGGAATTAAATGATAGACTACCCCAGGAGGGTACCAGCACCCCTGGAGAATCCCTCGCTGAGCATCCACGACCATGTTTCTCCACTTCTGAGCGTGGGTGCTCAGGCTGCCCCGCGTATTCTGGGGGGGGCAATATTCCGCTCAAGACTAAAACTGCTCGGGGCAAACGGAGCAACAAGACCAAGGCGACCCCTGCCACGCTGTCCGTGAATTTCTGCAATATCAGGGGACTTCACTCTAACCTAAACGCCGTCCACTACCATCTCGAGACGGCGAGGCCGGCTCTGCTCTTTCTGACCGAGACGCAGGTGTCCTCTCCGGCTGATGTCTCGTATCTCTCCTGCCCGGGGTACAAACTGGAACACTCCTTTGTGCCTCGGGCTGGAGTTTGCGTTTACGTCAGAGAGGACATCTGTTCTCGACGCCTCGGCAGACTTGAAGGTTCGGACCTGTCCATCCTTTGGCTACGCGTAGACAGCGACGACCATCCGCGCATCTACGGGTGCCTCTATAGGTCCCATAGCGGTAATGCCGAAATAGACCGACTCTTCGACCACGTCCAAATGGCTGCAGATTCGTTGCTACAGCAGATACCCTCCGCAGAGATCGTGATCCTCGGCGACTTTAACGCCCACCACGCCGAATGGCTCGGTTCACGTTTAACCGATCATGCGGGGAGATCTGTTCATGATTTTGCCTTGGCATATGGTCTGACACAACTGGTTACTTCGCCTACGCGGATTCCAGATGTGGAGGATCATGCACCTTCCCTGTTGGACCTTCTGCTGACCTCTCACCCGGACGGATATCAGATTTCCGTCGACGCCCCTTTAGGCTCCTCGGACCATTGTCTTGTCCGGAGTGTGGTGCCACTCACGCTGAAATCGCGGTTGCATTCTGCAGGCTGCCGCCGTGTTTGGCACTATAGGTCAGCCGATTGGGATGGGATGCGGTCTTTCTTTGCATCCTACCCTTGGGGGGCGGGTTTGCTTCTCGCCGGATGATCCTAACGTTGTTGCGGATTCTGTCGCTGATGTGGTACTTCAGGGTATGGAACTTTTTATTCCTTCCTCTGTGGTGCCCATTGGAGGCAAATCTCAGCCATGGTTTGGTCGCTCCTGTAAAATAGCATCATGCTATAAGCAGGAGTGCTACCGAGCCTGGGCTGACGCTTCAGCGTCCAGGGATGTAAACACCAGCGCTCTAAAAAAGAAGTATAATTCCGCCTCTAGGTCCTTCAAAAGAGTCATTGCCAAGGCAAAGTCAGAGCACATAGGCAGAATTGGCGAGAGACTAGTTCGTCTTCCTTCTGGAACCCGTGCATTCTGGTCTCTCGCCAAGGCTGTCCAGGGGAATTTCTGTCAGCCATCTCTTCCATCTCTGCACAGGGAGGACGACTCACTGGCCCACACCGCAAAGGAGAAAGCCGATCTTCTAGGCTCTTTCTTTGCGTCTAACTCGACTCTCGATGACGGGGGGAGTACGCCGCCGACCATCCCGCGGTGTGAGTGCTCCATGCCGGAAGTGCAGTTCACTCAGCGCTCGGTTCGCAAAGCACTCCTCTCCCTGGACATCTATAAGTCGAGTGGGCCTGATGGAATCCCCCCAATTGTGCTGAGGACGTGTGCTCCAGAGTTGGCACCGGTTTTAACGCGTCTTTTCCGGTACTCCTACTCCCTAGGCGTAGTCCCAAAATCATGGAAGACGGCTTTCGTCCACCCGATCCCTAAAAAAGGCGACCGCTCAGACCCGTCCAACTACCGGCCTATCGCCATCACCTCCTTGTTCTCCAAAACAATGGAGTCCATTGTAAACTGCCAGCTCATGAGGTACCTTGAGGATCACCAGCTGATTAGTGACCGCCAATACGGTTTTCGCCGTGGTAGGTCAGCTGGTGATCTTCTGGTCTACCTAACTCACAGATGGGCGGAGGCAGTAGAGTCCAAGGGGGAGGCATTGGCCGTTAGTTTGGACATTGCGAAGGCCTTCGATCGGGTTTGGCACAAAGCGCTTCTTTCGAAGCTCCCTTCCTATGGGCTTCCCGAGAAATTGTGCGATTGGATCACCAGTTTTCTTGCAGATCGGAGCATCAAGGTCGTTGTAGACGGTGCAAGCTCCGATTGCAAGCTTATTAATGCTGGTGTTCCACAGGGCTGCGTGCTATCGCCAACGCTGTTTCTTCTGCATATCAATGATATGTTGCAAACCCGTAGCATTCATTGCTATGCAGATGACAGCACTGGTGATGCTCTTTACACCGGCCGAGCCAATATTTCTCGGGAAAACGTCTCTGAGTGCCGGGACAAACTTGTGTCTGAAGTCGAGTCTCTGCTGGACAGAGTCTCGGATTGGGGGCGACTAAATCTAGTCCAGTTTAACCCCCAGAAGACACAAGTTTGCGCGTTAACCGCTAAAAAGAACCCCTTTGTCGTATCCCCTCAGTTTCAAGGCACTCCCCTTGTTGCCTCAGCCAGTATCGGAATCCTCGGCGTCGACATATCGAGTGACGTGCAGTTTCGTGGTCACTTGGAAGGGAAGGCCAAATTGGCCTCTAAAAAGCTTGGCGTGCTCAGCAGAGCGGGACAGTATTTCATGCCGGCACACCGCCTGCAACTTTACAAGGCGCAGGTTCGGCCGCTCATGGAATACTATTCCCATCTCTGGGCTGGGGCTCCCCAGTACCAGCTCCTTCCACTTGACCGCATCCAGCGCAGAGCGGCTCGAATCGTCGACGACCGAGTGCTTTCCGATCGGCTCGACTCACTGGCGCTGCGAAGAGATGTTGCATCTCTTTGCGTATTTTATCGCATCTATCACGGGGGAGTGCTCTGAGGAATTGTTCGGATTAATCCCAGCCGCCAAATTTCGTGAACGCACTACACGGCAAACGTCCCGATACCATCCACACCATCTGGATGCTTGGCGGTCCACCACTGTACGTTTCAAAAGGAGTTTTCTTCCGCGTACAACCTCTCTGTGGAATAATTTACCACCGGTGATTTTTCCGGACCGATACGACCTGGGGACCTTCAAGAAAAGAGCTTACTCCTTTCTAAAGGGCCGGCAACGCACCTGCAATTCCCCTGGTGTTGCGGTTGATCATGGGCGGCGGTAGTCACTTAACATCAGGTGAGCCACATGCTCGTTTGCCCCCTCTTCTATAAAAAAAAAAAAAAAAAAAAAAAAAAACTTGATGATAAAAGATATAAATGATATAAAGTTTGCTATGATTGTCTTTTTTATAGGATAGGGTGGCAAATGATCACACAGTCCACCTGATGGTAAGTGGTTGCTGTGGCCCGTAGATATCAACATCTATCCTCTATTACGAATCAAAATGCAGATGCATTGTCACCTGTGAGGACTACGATGGAATGCGTCATTTCCAGTAAAAAGGGTCTCCGGTTCTCTACACTTACCATTCGAAACACAGCAGCATTAAGCTACTATTATACGCTGCTATTCTGTGAGAGGGTGGTCTTTCCCGGGTCGAGCCGACCCATTCATGCTTCAACTATACTACTAATATAACTGTAGCATGGCTTTCCACATATAATAAGGTATTGTGCAATATGTACGTTTCACTATACACCTGTTCTGTGCAGATGGATAGTCTTTGTTGAGACTGGCTGCATGACTGAGTTTCTGTCTAAAGTACCTTATTACTATTTTACTCTCTATAAAATACCATGTATTTTTTTATAGAATAAGGGTGACAATCAAGCACACAGCCCACCTGATGATTAGTGGCTACAGGGGCCTACATCTACATCTATCCCAGGTTAAGAATCAAAATGCAGATCCATTGTTACCCCTGTGGACTAAGAAGAAATATGTTGTATCCAGTAAAAAGGGTTTTAAGTTCTCCACACTCACCTTGTGAAACACAGCACCAATGGGCTACTATTTTACACTAGTATTCTGTGAAAATGTGGTCATTCCCCAGCCGAGCCGACGTATTCATTCTACAACCATAATAAGCTGCAGCATGGCTCTACCACATACAACTTTTATGTTCTAGGCAAAATGTTTTTGCTTTTTAAAATTAGTAGCATATCCCACCTATGTGAAGTTTATATCA